GAAACTTCATAAATAGTTTCTTCTAATCATAACCTACAAATATTTTATTTACAATTCTTGGAATTATAACATTTTTAATCTGGAGGTCGGCAAACTTTGTATATTCAATTAGGTACTAAAAACTCGTAAATACCCATTTGCTTTCCACTTGAATCGTAAGATAATTTCAAAAATATTGAGCCGTTTGGCGTGACCTGCATTCCCAAATTGTCAAAATAATGATGCCAATAATACAGGACAAACGGCTGAATATTTTTGAAGACCACCTTTTTTCTTGACTTTGTATTCAAGTTATCTTATGATTCTAGTGGAAAGCAAATGGGTGTTTTCGAATTTTTAGTACCTAATTAAATAGACAAAGTTTGGTGACCTACAGAATAAAAACGACCCAATTAGGAGAATTTTCGTAAATAAAATATTTATAGGTTACGATGAGAAGCTATTTACGAAGTTTCAGTCGGATGTTAATAATTCGATAAAATGGGGCTGTACCACGGACTAAATCTCCTTGCTGAACACACCTTCCTAACGAAGACCTGCAAAATTGGGTCGAAACGTTGGCTTGAAATTGTTTTGTCACTATTTTAGTCTACTTATGACCGCCACTCCGGACCATCTCCTTCCGCTATTATGGAAATAAGAAAATTAAATTAATATGTATATATATGAGAGAGAGTAGTTAATTTTTATATAAATTAATGGACCAATACATATTTCGACATTACAATTGGCTGTATCTTTGCATAAAAAGAGCCACGGTGGTCCTGAGAGTTAAGCGCCTCCAAAAATTTTATATAAAGTGTTCAAATCTCGTTCGCTGGAATTAATAAAAAACAAATATAAATAAATAAACTCAAATAATAACTTGCCGGCTCCCTATTCGACTACATAGAACACTACGGAGCAGGTTCGATTCCCGCATGGAGGCGACAACATCCCACCCTGAGATTCATAGAGGTGAGCGACCCCTGTGTCTTACACCATATATGCTGGTCCTCCAGATTGGGGGTTGGGTATAGAGTTAAAACTATAAAACTCTCCCCCTATCCTATAAAATACTGGGTGGAAGATTGAATCAAAAGATCCTTCAGGACAAAGACCAACCATCCTTCAGGAAAGTTCCAGATGAAGGAGTGAAATGTGATTGCGTACGGTTAGTAAATCACGTGCTCCGTGGATATCTCGAAGAAGAGAGAACAAAAACATCAGTAATGTCGCCTATGAAAGCCCTAAGCTGCTAAAGAAGATTCATAACTTAAGAGTCGAAGTAAATTGGCGAAGAATATATATATATATATATATATAATATATATATATATATATATATATATATATATATATATATATATATATATATATATATATATATGCTTAAGATGGCCCGATTTCGATTTTTTTTTTTTAAACTATGGAGACTTATATTATCGAATGTGTACTTATATCATAAATTATACACCTTTTGAGTACCTTTTTTTTCTGGGTGAATGTTTAACTTTCGTATGCGAAGAACATAGTTTTCAAAATGATGACTCAATCATTGTATTTAATGAAAAATTAAAGGAAATAAGGCCGAAAAAAAATCTTTGAGAAATAATATAAGAAGATATTCCAACCAAGCTGAGCCAAAATGAGGTCGTCCTTCTAAAAAAAACATTATATTATTTCAGCCAGGATCCGTTTGTCACGACCACTTGCGGATTATCGTCCGAAATATGAGTTTCAAATTTCATGGTAACAGCCATTAAAAAAAACTAAATGTCTATAAAGCACGACGAACAGTAGATACTCATGATCTGTAAACCTCTCAAATACAACTACGAATTGATATCTGTAAACGTTTGCTCAAAAGACCAACACGTGATAGCTTTTGGAAAAGACTTGTAACAAAGGAAAAAAAATGAATATCATTAAAGAATTCTAACAACCAACAACAATGGCTACATCGAAATGAAGAGATTCAGCAGAGGTTCTCCAAGATTGATTTGGAAAATAGATATTTAGTGGAATCATGAGGATGTTCTGCACTTTCAGTAAAATCTAGATAGCAGCACTATTCAAACTGGGCTCTACCATGAACAACTCGAAAAATAATGAGGCGTTCTAAAAGATAAATCGAATAAAACTATCTGGTTCTGCAATACAATACTGTTACAAAACTTGCTTAAAAACTCTAAAACTTTGTTTACATCCTTGGGTATTATTTAGATAACCCTTACCTGTATCAGGTTATTTCCTTTACATGTCAGGATAATAATCCCAATAAGTTTTTCGTTTTCTTTCACACAGTTAACATGGAATGGGGTGAAAAGAAAACCAAATAGCTGTGATCGCCTTCACTAGCGGATCCAGGATTTAATTTTGGGAGGGAGGGGCTTCAGCCCGAAAGCTTTTTTTTATCATAAAAATGACGATAATTACTTTGGGAAAAAAGTAAGAAACTAACTATCTATATGAAATGGTGTTTAAGTGATTCCTTAAGTCCTTTTAAATGTAATTACACGAATAATACTTCAAGAGATAATATATTTTCTCATAAAACATGATTATATTTTACCATTTTTTTTGGGGGGAGGGGCTTCAGCCGAAAGCCCCTCCTCTCCCCGTGATTGCCTTACATAAAGTTGGAAAATGCAGGTCAGAGATTTTCAACACTTTGAAACCTTTGAGTATCAGCCATATGTTCATGTACCGCATTATAGAGATAATGCGGTATCTGTATGTGACAGACCTCGACCATTATGGGCCGTCCCCGCACTGTGAAACGGCAAATGCAGTGAGAGCAGTTGCTGCTCGAATCAGAAGAAATCACTTCGAAAACAACAAATAATGTTTCGGGAAATGGGAATCTCTGTCAGATCAATGTCCCGCATAATAAAAAGTGACCTTAGGATGGGTGCATTTCAAAGAATGACCGGACAAAGGCTAATCATTTCCATAAAAAAAAAAATAGATTGGATAGATGCAAAGGCTCCTTGGCCGTTATACCAATGCTCTTCATCTAAAGATTTTGTATAACTATGAGAAAATTTTTACAATTGAAGACAAATTTTGGTCCGAGCACTTGAGTGCTTTCCTCAAGAAATGCTGCGTGCTGCTATTGATGACTGACCACGGAGATTGAATGCCTGTGTCAAGGCAAAAGGAGGGCATTTCGAATAATTTATTTTACTCTTTATAGATGTTCATTTTATTTTATAATAAAATTTTTGAAAAAATTAATTTTTCTGTTGAAATCTGTATACACTTCCTTATAACAATATTTATGACAGTACTAGGTATATTTCATCAAAGCTAACTATCATTCAAGCGTTATCGAAGAAAACTTCTCAAAAATGAAGGATATTAGGATCTTGCCCTACCCAGAAGCAGTTTATGAAAATCTGGTAATAAAACAGCGAACATATCCAAACAGGATGTGTGAAGCTTTTCGCCTCGAAAACCAACGAGTTTAATATTTTTGTCCCGTTGCTTCGTCGAACACTGACCGCATCGGACTCCATTGTAAACTCAGATGCGAAAATTTTCAAGATCGCAATACTTTCCCTAACTACATATTACATATATAGGTAAGTGAAAGTAAAAAATAAAGAACATATTATAATTATAAATAACAATTTTTGAAAATTAATATAATTTAAAAGAAATCCCATGTTTCTAGGGAAATCAAATGAAATTTCCTAACGAAATGTAAACACCTAAAATTTTGTTTAAATTAAAATAAATCATACCAGACTGAAACGACAAGGAACCACTCGACGTTTACGATTACTTCAGAATTTACTATACTAACGCTCCATAATTTCAATTAATTACAAAAGACTCATATACATGAAAATAATAAGGCCTATTTGGACTTAAGGAGTTGAGCTATAGGGCTTCACTAAACCATTGAATTGCTCTCGTATCCAATCCTTACAATCCAAAATCCTTCGTAAAATCCTCAATGCTTCCTACTTTGCTACAAATGAAACCATCCATAATGATCTTAATGTTTTAGATCTGGCCCAATCCAGATACCTATCCTTCCATAATAAACTTCAGAATCATCTCAACCCTCTCGTTTCTAACCTTGCTTCCTCTTCAATTGATGATAACCATCCGAGGCGTCTGAAAAGAAAACGGCCCAGTGATCTCCTAATGTAGACATATCATTAGAGTGCTACCATTGGGTAGTTTCTCAACAAGTGTTTTCATATATCCATATGTTCAAATTTACTAAATGTATTTCTTTAATACAGTTGTTTAATACAAAAAAAAAAAGAATTAAAAAATATAATACACCGAATATAGGTAATTCAAAAAATATTTCATTATACTTATGTGACAATATTATTAATATTTCATGTATTTGTAAAATATAAGTTTATAACCTTAAATACATTTACTGAACTTTAATAACTTAAGTAAATAACTATGTAGCTATCGTCAGTTTATCCCGAAAGTTCATCATGTAACATTTTAAATTAGAAAATTAAATTGATGAATAATTTGATGACTTTTCCCTTTTGTGAAATCACATTATCCACTTATAATTAGTGTGAAAACTTTTGAAACTATCTAATTTCATTTTAGTAAACTTTACAATGGAAAATAACAGATGTTTAATAGGCGTACAATCCATAATTATTTATAGGTTAAATACAGATATATTTGAAAATCTCTCTAGATATATATATATCTTAGAAACTGCAGTTATGTGATTTACAAAAACATATGGAATTACGAGGTTTTTATTGCCTATGGAAGGTTTAAATTTTAGCTCCGTTAAAAATGTTCTTCAAAAATTGTATAATAGCCCTACATTGCCAGAAAATAATTTCGATTCAAAGCAGAGCAGTAAGTTAAAAGTTGAGTGATGCGTGCACCATATTTTTAAGGTATGATATAGTAATCTAAACATTTAATACCAGTAATTGTAGAATTTAAACTTGTTACAATAATATTAAAATTTAATTAAAACATAATATGGGAAAAAAAGATATTTAAAATAAAAACCTTACTTTGTAGATGAACTGCAAAGACAAACAAGACACTGGCGAAGGCGGGAGCAGTAAACATGACCAAGGATATCAAGGAACCACTGGCTACAAGCGTCGCACTCGAAGTGCCCTCTTTCTAACTTGCTGCGAACTACAAACTCTCAAGATTTCTCCATTATCTTCACCACTTTAAAAAATAATATACAAGCCATAATATTGCTATTGACAATCACAAGATATCAGTTCTTGAATTCACGAATCTAGAATATCACGCGTAACATCACAGCTTACACTGTGATGTTACCGTCAGATTTGTAGATTACTGAACCATAGTCCAGTTTAGTAAAAATACAACAGATCGAATGCGAAAAAATACATCTGAATTTACAGTAATTATACATTAATTTCGATACTTAATATTATGTCTTATTCCTTTAAAACTCTCCATTTTTTTATTAATAAAATTTAAACATTTTAGAAAACACATGTAGAAAACTATTTAGATTAGCTTGCTAATCTATTGTGAACATAAATAAAAACGAATTTATTGTTTAATGATTTATTAATTAAGACCTGTTATAGGAGAATTCATTCCCACATTAAGCGTATTTAGAGTCAATGTGGTTTAATATAACTACAGCTGGGGTATGTTTCAATCTATTGTTTATCAATATGTAATGGAAACTTCCAAAATAAAATATGGACACGCATACTCTTCATTAAGATTATAATTGCTATAAAAATCTGAATAGAATATAACAATAAAACACATTAAATTGTATAACCTCATTTATATGTGCACAGCCTCATAGATTTATACTGTAAAATATTATTTGATAAAGTTGGTACCTAAATGATAACTTTGTTTACCAATATCTGACTTTCCTTCAACTTCAGGAAAAATGGAACGTACAGTTTTCGAAATGGATTATAAAGAAAATACCTTTGCTCATGTGTCAGAGGAAGTACTCGTAGTGAATGGAATTCGATAAGATTGATACATTATATATTTTTTTTAATTTTCTTCAATTTAGAGCGAAATCCAACGAGCTATTTCTGAAATGTACACGCCAACATTTCACTAAAGGCGGTTTTAGACATTTCACAAACAATGAGAAAAATATAACTAAATAGCTGTTTCATTATAGTCCGTGGTACAGAGCCCTTTTTATCAAACTATTAACATCCTGCTAAAACTTTGTAATTAGTTCCATCACATCGTAATCTACAAATATTTTATTTACGAAAATCCTCGGAATTTTCAATCTAGAAGTCGGCAAACTTTGTCTATTTAATTAAATACTAAAAACTCCTAAATAACGCATTTGCTTTCCACTTTAAATCTTAAGATAACTTGAGCACAAAGTAAAGGAAAAATGTGGCCTCTGAAAATGTAAAGCAGTTTGCTCTATATAACCTCGTTATTTTGATAATTTGGAGGTGTAGATCACGCCAAACGGCTCAATATTTATGAATGTCACCTTTTTCTAGACTTTATTCTCAAGTTATCTTACGATTAAAATGGAGAGCAAATGGGTATTTACGAGTTTTTAGAACGTAATTAAATAGACAAATATCACTGACCCCTAGATTGGAAACGCCCCAATTTATGATTTTCGTAAATACAATATTTGTAGGTTATGATGAGATGAAGCTATTTACAAAGTTTCAGCCGGATGTTAATAATTTGATAAAAAAGGGGTCTGTGCCAGTAACTAATATGCTAATATTTTTGTTTCAGTTACTTCAGATCATATATAATGGTAATCTGTGTACTGACTACCAAGTATTTTCTCAAATACTGACCTTTTTTGAGTGCCTAAGAATTTAATTACTACTTCAGTTGATGTCAAACGATTAACTGAAATAGTGATTGAATTCCCAATAGTGAGTAAATTTTTGTAAAATATTTGGTACTCGGTACTCAAAGTAGCAATAAGCCCATCTCTTGTTCAGAAGCGTAAAGACATCACAAACTATGGGAAATATAAATATCCAAAAGTTTGAATCTCTACACTAATGTTTTGTTTCTAATTTGTTATGCTTCCATCTGCTAATAGTATCATGAGAAATCAAACAAGCAAGTTTGGGTAAGAGCTTGTGCGTTGTTAGCTAAGTGGACTAAGGTAGAAATGATAAGAATTACTTCAATCAAGATAGCAGCTCTGTTACTTCTTAACGTTCGAAAATAGTTTTATAAAAAAAACCAAACGACTAAGGCCTGTGCTTTGAGCATACGATAGAAGTGAAAATATCAACAAGGCGAGACTAATAATATGAAATTAAAAAAAAAAACTCGTACCACTACAACCCATGAAGGGTCTTGGGTTCAGTACTATTTAGGAAAAGCACTGCTTCTTGGTCTACGGTTGTGCAGGGAGGTGATCTGACCGAGATTACGCTCAACTGCCAAGTTTCCCTCCCTTAATCAATTATTTTAATTAAGGGTACCCACTTAATTCACATCTTCCATAGAACTTGTTATTATTTGGTTTCGCTTATCTAACACAGCCTCGCGTTAAAGTACAATTTTGAATAATAGCTCATTATAAAGAGGATGAAATGTTGAACATTTCCCTCGCTCACAGTATGCAGGTCCGATGTTTAGTTTTTGAGATATTTTAATCCATGTCTTCCATAAAACTCGTTATCATTTGATTTTCGATACCATTTTTTCCCCTTTCGGCCCTCTAACACCGTAAGATCCAATAATAGCTAATTACAAAGAGTACGAAATGCTGAACATTTTCCTTGCATATAGTATGCAGGTACGATTTTAGTTTTGAGATATTTCATATGCAAATACTTCAATTAGCCGACTTTACCCGAGCGTTACACATCGGAGATCTGACTTTCCTTTCTGTTTTTTCTAGTTGCTCTTCTCCAAAACTCCACTTCCAAGAAAAGAAAAATACTAACAAATATTGTACATAATAGTTGAATATGTAATTTTTTAGAAAAAGTAAAATGTGAATAGGTTATCATTTTTTAAAATTTATTGCAGATAACATTTTATATTTTAAAAAACCTGCACCACTACCTCCCATGAAGGGGCTTGGGTTCAGTAATTTATTAGGAAGTATAGTTTCAAGGCCAGCGGTTGTGCACGGAGGTGATGCGGTCAGAATTACACTCAACCGCCAGGTTTTTCCCTTAATTAAGAGTAATCACTTAATAGAGGCTGGGTGTGCCCCAGTAGGGTCTCTCAACTCCAGGGTCATTCCACGACTGAAGAAAAAGTCCCCCAAAAAAGCCCAGTCACTGAGGTACTCCGCTAACAAAATTCGATATTTATAATTGCAATTTTTATTATTTTTTTTTAAATATAAAATTCAGATAAATATAAAACCAGATACAAGGCTATTTGGTTGATTTTTTTTCGATTATAATCCAACAGTCTGATCAGGGATAACAATGTTTGATTTATAGACGAATTATTCTGAATGTTTGATTTATAGACGAATTATCCTGAAAATATGCCCTAGATTTGTCGTTTGTTGATTTCTTGGTTGAGTACTTGTTGTAATAATCTTTTCTAAGCAAAACATGATAATTTTACGGGGCCGTTCTCCGTGAACTTACGACAGCAGTTACGACAGATTTGCATTGTGAGGCTGTGTCCTTCGCTAATTCCATTCTACGTTTTTTTACATAATATTTCATGTAATTATTTGTAACATTAATAATCAAATAAACTGCTAAATTCGTCTTTTGAGGACGAAGAAAATAAAATTATAATTATAGGTGATAAATATTCAGGAGGCAGGTTTTTAAAAAAAAAATATTAATTTTTTATTTATGCCAACGTTTCAACCCAAACATGTGGGTCATCTTCAGGGCGTGGTTTGAGAACTGAGGGTGTTCAAGTACTCTCAGTCAGTACTTGAACACTCTCTGTACTCAAACGATACCCTGAAGATGACCCACATGTTTGGGTTGGAATGTTGGCGTAAATAAAAAAAATATTTTTTTTTTTTAAAAAGACTGCGTCCTGAATATTTATCACTCATGATATGTAGAACAGTCGACTAACTTCCTTCAAACATAATAATTAATTTACCTCGCAAAGTTGTTAAAATTTTAGACTCGTTTATCTTCTCCAGCATTCTTTAATGGGCTTCAATTTTTTTTTTTACTTGTTTATTCAGAAATATTACATACTGTCACAATCAAGGACATTTATAATAGTGTTCAGAGAGCACACTCACACTCTATTTAAAATAAATAATACAGAAGCTAATAATAATAAAAATAAATGTATATAAACAAAAGAACGAAACTAATCAAAATAATAACTAAAACAGATGCATACTACGGCTACGTGGGCTATTCTTAGAAAACTGACCATTGGTAATACACCCCAGTCTCAGTCCAATTCCGTTTCTGCTGATAACCTCAACGCTCACTTTGTCTCCTGTCCTCTTGCATCCACATCTCCCACGTCCAGTCTGGCTCCTATGTTCTCTTCCTTTAATCCTGATCACTTCTTTCTTTCCCATATTACACCAGATGAGCTCCTTAAATCCATTCAGAAGTCCCATACCAATGATTACGGTCCCGACAACATCCCAGTCAGACTGATTAAAGCCGCATTGCCATCCATTCTTCCGATCCTTTATCATATATACAATTATTCTCTTCAAAATGCTACCTTCCCTACATCCTGGAAAACCGCCCTAGTACGCCCATTGAAGAAGACTTCAAACCCATCAGTTCCTAATGATTTCCGACCGATTTCCCTCCTTTCAAACCTCTCAAAACCATTAGAGCGGTTAGTCCAATCCCAGCTATCCCATTTTTTAGAGGACAATAATCTCCTAAATCCCTACCAGTCTGGATTCAGGCCTGGTTATTCTACTCAGTCTGCCCTAATCAAAATTTCCCAAGACCTTCACACAGCCATAGATCAGCAGAAACTAACCATCCTTATTCTCCTAGACTTCTCCAAAGCTTTTGATTCAGTAGACCACAACATCCTCCTAACCAAACTTAAAAATATCTCTTTTTCTTCTAGTTCCCTTAATTGGTTCCAATCCTTCCTAACCGGTCGCTCCCAGTACGTTGTAATTCCTAATAACCCACCATCAGAATCTCTACCTCTGACCAGAGGCGTCCCACAAGGCTCTTCCTTATCCCCCACCCTTTTCTCCATCTATATAAATGACCTCCCATCCTCTATCCTGCACTGTCATTACCACCTGTATGCCGACGACATTCAAATTTACCTCTCCTTTAATCCGACAGATATCTCAGATGCCACTCAAAAACTTCAGGAAGATATTGACAGAATAAGTGCTTGGGCAAACCTCAATAGGCTCACTCTGAACGCCGAGAAGACAAAAGCCATCTTGATCGGATCCCCTTCACTCCTCAAATCCTCCCCAGTATCTCCCAATCTCTTCCTGAACAACTCACCTATCTTATTCTACACCACCGTTAAAAACCTAGGTGTTACTTTCGATCAATCCCTATCCTGGAAACCTCA